TCTTTGCTGTAATCCCACTTTTGGGCTCTGGGGGAACACTAACGTCCCAGGAGTGCCCAGACGCCCTCCCCGTTTAATTTGTAAAATCACTTTGGTATGTTTTGACTACTAACATTTAGATGGTGCACTGTAGTGGTTACGTATTCAGGAGTGAAACCCCCAGTGTTAAGTAGTTAGTAGTTTAGAACAGTGTGACAGGCGCCTCTCCCTGCCTCCACTACCTCCGATAGAGAGCCGAGAAGAATGAACTATTCCTGCAGGAGACCTAAAAGAAGCTCCTGCTGAGAAACCTTTGGCTCTGTGTCAGAAGTAGTGAAGACGGGAAACAGCACCCAGAGGAACCCGGGTAAGACTCAAAACCACTCTAAAAAGGTTTGACTACTTAAAATGGAGGGGATTCCAGGGCATCCCAGACACAATAATTATTACAGCACACTGTGTTACTTTTACCATAAACATTAAAATACATTAAGGTAAAAACAAAACAAAATATCTTGTGTAGTCTACTTCTGTGACGTTGGCATACAGCTAAAAGGCTACATCTGACAGGAACCTTAAAATGGGAAATCTTCAGTTAGGTATTTTTTATCCATTGATTTGCTGCGGATTTTGAATGTATAATTTATAGGTTAAATTGAACTTACCATCCACGGGTTCACTTTAAAGAATTGCCGAAGAGATAATTTTCTAAAATATCATTTATAGCTAGAAATCCCATAGACATTCTATTCTGGCCTTTTAAAGGTAGAAACCGTTAAATTCACAGTATAAATGCCTTGATGCAGAGAGGTTATAGAATATTGTGTATAAACAAAGTTGGGAGTGAAGTTATAGCGAGGGGTTCACTGTGGAAACCTGTAAAATGATTTGCTTTGTGGATTTAGAACTTTGAATTATTTTCCATATGTAACCCCTTTGTGTTGGGTGCACCCTAGTAACAGCCTTTGTTGAAGATGCCTACAATGAATTTCTAGGTTACGGCTAGAAGTTTGATCTTGATTAATAGAAGTATGTATGTGATGTCTTCTATTCTTGTTAATGGGATCCAAGTTAACTGTAATGTTTGTTTTTTTAGGTTTGTCAGAAATCCGGAGAAATCTCATTATTAAAACAGCAGCTGAAAGACGCTCAGTCCGAGCTGGGGCTGAAAGCAAATGAAATACTTCTGCTTCGGTCCCAGCTTAGAGAAGCTCGTTCGGACCTCCAGGTCAGTGAAGAGCAAGTTCAGGAACTTCAAGACAATGCTCACACAAAGACTTTGGAGCTCGAGGTTTGTGAGAACGAACTGCAGCGCAAGAAGAATGAGGCAGAACTCCTGCGGGAGAAAGCGAGCAAGTTGGACCAAGAGGTGGCCAGTCTCCGAGAGACAGCGGTAGCCAACTTGCGGCATGGATTATGCCACTGCCAAGATAAAGAAGATCCTTTTTTGCTTTATGAAAGCGATGAGGCCAAAGCTCAACGGCAAAATGCTGACAACCTTCAGAATTTAAAGCAGTACGTTGAGCGTCTCAGGGAGGCGCTGTCAGGCGAGCGCCGTCGAAACCAGGAGCAAATGGAAAACTTTGAAGAAGAGCGTCGTATATGGCAAGAGGAAAAGGAAAAAGTGATTCGATATCAGAAGCAGTTACAACACAACTATATCCAGATGTACCAACAGAACAGGGAGCTAGAAAGGGACATTAAACAGCTCACTCTAGAACTGGAAGCCAGAGATCTGGATGAATTTGATTTGCATGGCGCAGAGATTCAGTTTGAGGAAATCACAGCCACAGAAATCTAAATCCAAAAAAAGAGATGCACTACCATGTATGCCTTTTATATTCCACATTCCTTCCAACAGGTCTGCCAAAGTACCCATCATCCACTAACCATGTCCCAGAAGAATTATTCATACCAGTAAAACTAAATATCTCCATTTTTGACAGAGAAATGTTATAATTACTACAAGATCTTAGGCCAATAACTGGAGACGGCACTCCCTGTAAGTTGAGCAGACAGCATGGAAACCGTTAAACTAACTATTGGACAACGTTTCATTGGAACCTATTGTTCAAAGGGTTTTTGTTTGTTTTTAAACACAGAGTTTTAACTGTTTTACTGCTGGATCTCTCCTCTTAAAGCAGGGCTTGTGCCAACAGGTTGCGCTCCAGATACATTGGGACTACAAGTTCCATGATGCTTTTCCAGGCAGTGTTCCTGTCTGGGCAACCAATGTCTTAGGGGGGGAACACTGGTCAACGCTTTATAAACAAAGGTGACTATTAGCTAAGTCACAAGATGGGGTATTGTTAGAAAACCTTCCTGACTTTTAGGGTGGAGATTTAAAAACTAAAATAAAAAATACAAATAAACAGAGAGCGGAGCAATCACTATAGAACCCAGTGAAATCCGAAACATTTCACCGGATTCCTTGTTTGCCGCACTTTAGAAACTGTTACAGCAACTAACAAAAAAAAGGGACACGTTCTAAAAGGGAGCAGTTGCCATGGAAACCAGTGAAATCACTTTGCTCCACTTTTAGAACTTTTTCCCAGTTTTCTGTTATGAAGAGATAAGCATGCCTCTGATAATTCCATTGCTAATTTCCCATTGACATCCAAGTGTCCAGTTACCAGAGCTACATTTAGCTCTTAATATAAGCCAGCCTTACAGAGTGTCAGCAGTTACAGAATTCCTAGTTATTTGTGGATAATCTGAGAATATTCTGTGATAACTCTGCTGAGTAAATCTTCTGAATATTGGAGAACGCTCTGTGTTTAGCTAATAGACTTCCATTACTTTTAAATAATGTAACTCTCCCAAGATGCCATCCATACGACTAACTATTATGAAGTGTGCTAATAAGACCAAAATTGATAATGAAATTTCAGAGATATTCTAGATCTGTATTTGTGTGCTTACAGCTCTGTGTAGCACACCTTTAATGCATGCATTGTCCCATAATACAGCAGCAAAGGATTCTGGGTAACTGACTGTAGAAAGAATAATGTTCATTGAGAAAAGGGTAATTTAACCCTTTGGGTGGTAGGTGCGTCCTATGTGTTGACATACCACCTGGCACTCAAAGGGTTTATTTTTATCTCTGAATTACAGACTTGTTTTGCCATTCTACTGTAAGATTTGCCATAGAATGTTCTTCACTCGACTAAACAGCGGTTTTATTGTCAACATTCTACTGGTAACACACTGTGCTTAACTGATAATGCAGTTCTAATTGCGTTTGTAAATAATGTATCATAAGAGTTGTTTTTCCTAAAGCAAAAAGATTGGTTTTTGTACAAACTGATTAGCACTTTTTAAGTCTTTGCCTCTATTCTTTTGCTGTCGGGAGAACAATAGTCGCTTTTAATCTCAGGTAGGTCATATGCTAGAGCACAATCGTAACCTAAAGCAATGCATTAGAAAGACTGTTTATACCCTTTGCTGCCACAGGGGCTGCAGCCCACTGCAAAGTAGAGAGTCAAAGGCCAAGGGGAACTAAAAGGTTAAAGCCATTCAGAGTGACTAATCCCCAGGCTTTGTATGGGTTAATTCATTGTTTGTGATCATAATAAACCCTGGACAACACCAGATAATTAAAAAAAACTATTGGTTTCATTTTTCTTTTTTTAAGAATTTAAAATGCATTTATTATGTATTGACAAAAAAAAAAAAGGATTGTACCAGCCAGCTGCATGTGAAAAATAAGAAGTCAAAACTGTTTTGAAATGGTTTGACTACTTGTAATGTTGGGGTGGCATTCCTGGCACCATAACTACCACAATGAGCTAGTGGTGATGGTACTTGGGGTGTTTATTTAAAGAGAAATCAGAACCACATGGCATAATATAGAAAATAAACATGGTAACATGTTAATTACCAATTCTCCAATTTCTGATTTTGTGAATCCACCCCAAAAGGATGTACTTTTGGCATGCAGCAGACAGAGTATGAAACTTGCAAAAGCTATCCGTAATTTACATCGATTTCTTGTATCTGTCCTGCAGTGCAGGAATGATTGTTCCCATTGGAATTCTTCTGTTTGTGGGATAAACATTTACAGCATTGCACAGTTATTGATCTACTGTCTTTCACCATTATAGAATCTATGGAAAATAATTACAGCCATCATTCACGCAGGACGCCCTTGTCATGAACAGTAAATAGACTCAGCATTTACAGACTGCAGATCCTGGGATTTCTTGTATCTGCAAGTAGCTTGCCCCTCCTTCAGTCCCCACTCAGATCTTGAACGCTTTTTGTTCACTTGTGCCATTACAGAGTGAACCCATACCATTAGCACATCAGACTGTTCACACCCGTAAAGGGCAGTCCAGCACCGAAATGTCGACATTCTCTCTGCAGGAGAGAAATGGCAACCCTGGGCGATTGTTTTGGACTTATTTGAGCCTCGTTAGTGAGGTGTAGCTGATACCCCCTCTAGGTACAGTGAGCATGGGGTCCATGTCTGGATTACCCGTTTATCTTAGGGAGAGCCAAGTTAATGCATTGTAACAAAAACAGAGAACTCTGAGGGCAAACGTTTAGAGAAACTCTGTGTTATTAAGATCTCTGTGATGGTAAAAGTGAGCAAAACTATTTTGAGACCTGAGCTGGGACTAACCGAAGGGCAAGCTACAGAGTTTCCCTAAGCTTTTGCACGTTCCCATATTCTGGTTTTGGTTTTGGGGGGGGAGGGGGGTTTACTCAATGTTTAGCCTTATTTTAAACATTCAGGAGATCCTTTCTTCTTTGCTCAGTTTAAAAAAAAAAAAATGGTTTAAATGCAAAACATTGAAAGATGGTATTAAACAGTATGTATTCACACTTGTGTGTTGTATTAGAGGGTTGATGTATCATTTCTTTAACCCCGTAAGGACCAAACTTCTGGATTAAAAGGGGTTAAAAGGACCACTATAGTGCCAGGAAAACAAACTTGTTTTCCTAGCACCTTAGGGTCATTAGGTCCCCCCCCCACTCCTCAGGGACCCCCTCCCGCTGCAGGGTTAACACTAGATGGACCTGGCACCCAGACCACTTCATTGAGCTGAAGTGGTCTGGGTGCCTATAGTGGTTCTTTAAGTTATAAATTAGCAGTGACAAGTTAGTCAGTTGTCATCTACGCTGATGACTGGTTAAAACCATTTCCCTTTCAGTAAGGGTTAGCAAGGCTCTTGCAATGCGTCTACAGTGAACTATATATGATAGGCAGCTGCTTTGGGCCTAATAAATACATACGGGGTCACACTTTTAGATTTAGGCACTGGGAACTGTTCCATATTCTTCACTAGCTGAGTTCCACCACGCAGTCTGACTGTACATGATGTGAATTAGCAGACTGAATGTGACACAAAGTAGGTTTAGTCAGATTTAATGGACTTGTATATTTATTTGCTAATTAATTAGATACAATGATTAAACCCATCATTAGGCTTTCTCCTGTCTGTCATGGGTGACATGTCAATGCAGATGTTAATTTCCCATAAAATGCTGGCTAAACATCACAGGAAATATATTTTTTCCCTCAATGTTATCAGATTGAAAATCTAAGTGGGGTGTTTTTAAACAAGTTAAAAGTGACTTTTTTTTTTTATCGTGCAGAGCATGACATCACCTTGGTAAACCACAATCAATACTTGGCTACTTTGTCAATGTCTTGCGTTGAAAAGCAACCGTGTTTGCAATCCACTTTCCAACTGCTTGCGAATTATGGGGCCTTTATCTTGGGGGATAAAAAAAAAACAGCTTGAAAATATATTTTTACTAAAACTCCATAACTGCCAAACATCTATTTAAAAAAAATTAAAATGCCAGGGTTTAAAATATTCACTCGCTCACTAGACATTTGCAAATGGAAATTCAATCCTGGCAGAAGAAAGAAGTATGTCACTGGACCGCTATGAAGGGATCCAGGTAAGGAGGGCAGTTTACCCCTTTACCAGACAACCAGGTACTCCTGACATCATAATCAATACAGCAGGATTTAGATGGTATGATGCGTGGAGTAGCCATTAAATTCCAGCAACCAGTTAGACTCCTCATTGCAGCTCAATCGTTCTACCAAGGATAGAAAGTTCTGAAGTGCCTCACAGCCACATGTGCTGCATTTTTGGACAAAACTAAGCGGTTTCTCAGAAACGCCAATATTTTGCATTGTTCATAAAAAAGGGGGAGGGGAACATTTCGGCACCAAAACCATTAGATTAAGGGGCTGTGATTTTGATGCCTAGAGTAGATGTTTAATATTAACGCAACTTGCGCAGGGCCGATAAGAGGGCAGAAAAATAAGTTTATGTGATACACTTGTTGTCACATGGCAGCGCATAGATTTAATTTTTAGATTAATATAATTTCCCCATTAAGTTATCTGAAAGCACTCACACAATCCAATTATTTTAGTGTGTGAAATTAACCGTGAAGTGCTTTTAAAACATATTCCGGGCAGATAGTTGTGGGATTGTCCTCAAAAAAGCTTTTCATTTCATTTAACACATTTTGATTTACCTACACGTTTTGTGGCAGCTTTACATACAACCAACTGTCCATTTACTACAGTAATGCGCTTACATTTACAGGAAGAACGGGCGTTAATCACTTTTATATGTTAAGATCAATTATTGTGTTATGTTTACAATAATATTCTAAATGTAAACTCTGTACCCCTCATAGATCAGTGTGTAAAGAAAATATATTGGGAATAAAACCATTCTGCTAAGCGCCTGTTCCAAGCAGGGGATATGAGAGGCCGACAGGTCCATGTATTAGGTTCCACTTTTTAAAACTTGGCAACAATGAAAATGATAAAACACGCATCACAATTTCACAGACATAAAAATGCCTATTCCATAAAAAAAAAAAAAAAACAAGCCACCCCCTTCGGAAAGGAGAGGTGGTATATCTTAACAATATCTTAAAAACAAAACTCAAAATAAATGTTTCAGACTTACCCCTCCGTCTTTATTGATAATCCTTTTCTTCAATCTTAAGCCATAAAAACATTGCCAATATGAAAGCCAAGCAGTGAGCCTCGAATGGAGGCTACCATACACTACTACCAACAAGTATCAAAAAATAATAACCGACAGAAAACATTGCAATAAAAAAAAACACCCTCCAAAAACGTGACGGTCAGGATTATAAATGAGGGATTAAAGAGGCAGAGACTTTATATACACTCCTTCCAACTTGAATTATTCATTAAAAGGACACTCCGCACTAAAACCACTGCATCGTAATAATCTAAATAGAGCAAAGAATACAAACAAATATATTCAAAGAATTGTCAGTGTTTACACTGCTGCCTAGTAACACCTCTAGGGGCAGTCACTCAAGGCAGCCACTAGAGGTGCTTCCTATTTCAGTGTAACACTGTGTGCAGCACCTGTGGGTTTAGCATTTTCACGCGCTGAACATTCTCCAGAGGGATTTATTGATTCACTGGATCTCTATGAGGAGATGCTGATTGGTGCAGCGTTTTCCTATGGGAAAGCATTGGATTGGCTGAGATCATCAGGATTGATCACCTCACTCACAGATGCAGAGCCAGCTGCGGTGAGACCGATGCAGCTTGGGAGATCATTTTTAACCCTTTCCTTCACAGAAAAGGGGTGTGGAAAACCTAGACATCAATTCCTGCACAACAGTGTCCCTTTAATATATAGTTAGATAAAAACCGATATAAAGTTTATGGTGAAATAACCATACACACAAACACGAGGAAAATCCACATGCCACCAGTCACGGGCGGCTCCACTAAACCGAAAGTGGACACAATCTCAAGGCACATTTACTGAGGTATAATGGCAACGTTTCAGCTGTTTAGAGCCTTTGACAGTTTGTAATATAAAATTTAGCAGCCTGTCCATGCATTTTTGTAAATCACATCAGCAGAAAAATCAGACCATTGCAGGATTGCTTCTATATCTGCCTGTGTGCCACATTAGGCCGAGGATTAGCGGTCTGTTAATGTGAAGTAGGGTTTCACCTGGAGTGAAAAATCAGTGAGATTATCTCAATCTTTTTACACCTGTTCCCTCATAATCTGATGCTCTTGGGTGTAACTGAATGTCAGAGTGTACATTGGAATATAATGTCACACATCGAGGGAACTGTACGACACTCCCTTGTAAAAATTGTATTAGAAAAAAATATGACCTGGAGAGTGACTGATAAATGGAAATAAGGGTGGACGGAGGATTGTATTATTCTAACATCAGCTAACTGGTTCTTAGCATTGTGCTTGGTGAGCAGCTCATCTACCGCCCCCTAGTGTTAAAGTGTTTGTACTTCTATACAGTGACATTTCTAGATAATGGATGGATTGATGTTAGTTATGAGAGTCAGACAAATCAGGAGTGTTGTCTGTGTGTGTAGCTAATTATATAGTCGTGAGTGTGGCCTCATATATATATACGTGTGCAGCTAATTAGATGCATGTGTTTAAAGGACCCCTCTAGGCACCCAGACCACTTCAGCTTAATGAAGTGGTCTGGGTGCCAGGTCCTTCTAGGGTTAACCCATTTTTTCATAAACATAGCAGTTTCAGAGAAACTGCTATGTTTATGAATGGGTTAAGCCTTCCCCCTAATCCTCTAGTGGCTGTCTCATTGACAGCCACTAGAGGCGCTTGCGTGCTTCTCACTGTGAAAATCACAGTGAGAGCACGCCAGCGTCCATAGGAAAGCATTGTAAATGCTTTCCTATGAGACCGGCTGAATGCGCGCGCAGCTCTTGCCGCGCGTGCGCATTCAGCCGGCGGGGCGTAACGGAGGCGGAGAGGAGGAGGAGAGCTCCCCGCCCAGCGCTGGAAAAAGTTTTTACCCCTTTCCCCCTTCCAGAGCCGGGCGGGAGGGGGGCCCTGAGGGTGGGGGCAAAAGACTACAAAATGGTGAAAACCGAAAGAATAGGACAGAAAGAGGGTGGAAGAACAGCCCCCGGGGAGGGGATCATCACGGTTCTTGCTCACAGAGAAAGACTAGGGGGGAAAGAAGTGGAGAATTTGGAGGAATAGGGGAGGAAATAAGTAAAAAAGACAATGAAAGGAAAGAATTAAACTCCTGGAGAATGGATCATGGCGTAGGGTGGCACCGTTTCCCGGAATAGCATTGCTTGGATAAAAGTTATTCCTGACCCAGGTCTGATGAAGCTAGGACAGTATTTTTCCTTAGAATAATGCAGAGTTTACCAACGCTCATTAAATCTTTTATTAGAACTGGCGCTCTGTTAAATAAACTGCCCTACTTTATTTTGCTTACTCCCCAGGGTGCCGACAAGTCTGGTTCACCGAGAGCTAAAACGGGATTCTTTCCACAGATTTTCCATTAGTCACATTTCACCCGTCCACTTGTTTAAAAGTAGAATTAAACGTTCCCTGACATTTTTGATTTAACTAGTTTATAGTGCATTTTCCCTTCTTAGATGCATATGATCACACAGTACATATAATTTATATCCACCTATCGCGTATATCCTACCTTAGAAAGCGATGTCAAACCTTTGGGTAGAATTCTTGACACTTTTGCATTTATCAAGGTACTAATATAGGCCAATACTAACTATGTCAGTCTCGCCTTTTTATGTCCAAATTTTCCAATATGTTTAGTACATGTCACGGCCAGTAACATTACTACCCTGTAATGAGCTTCAGAGTGTATTTTTTTTTTTAAGAAAATGAAAAAAGAAAGTCAGATTCGAAGTCCAGACCATTTTGTAACTTCAGCTCAATAAAAACTTTAATTTTTTACATTCTATAAAACGTTTTAAAAATGTTTTTGGAAAAAATGTACAATAATTTACATAACTTTATAAAATGACATCATCACAATCTCTTTTTTCCACATCTTTTTCTATATACAAGGGTTTTTCAGGGAGAAAAAAAAATAAAAAAAATTCCCAGGTGTATAAAAGGAAGACTTGTTGGATATTACCTTTGAGCCAGGGAGTTAGCGCTCACTTATACAGTAGAGTTGTATGTTTATTCCCCATCACCATATCGGTGATGTAAAGTGCCAGTTAACATTAGCTGCGAGGTTTAAATGTGTATTCGGATAAATAACTTGCCATCACTGCTGCGACTTCTTCGGTATCTTAACAACAAATTCCATTGGTTCTTTCATCTTATTACTGTACGACTGACGGATGACATCTACAGCGCGCTGGTGCGTCACATTCTGCAAAGACTCCCCATCAACGGAAACCAGTTCGTTACCAGCCTAGGATGTAAAACCGTAATTATTATTAATATTTATAAAGCGCCAACAAATTCCACAGCGCTGTACAATGACAAAGGATATTAACTGCTTGTACTTGCACACGCACATTACCTCACCAAAGAAAAATGACAGACAACACTAATGTTGGTAAATTGTAATTATTATTATTATAGAGGATTCTTTTCCGTATGTTTTGCAACTTAACATTCAAACCGTACATGTTCCTAGAGGTGGTAGGAGTGTCATAAGTAACCATTAGGAAAATGACTTTCGGAGCTTTAAATTGCACACATTCACAGAATAATCTGGGACATTGTCACATTCCAACAGTGAAGATTTAAAGGTGGAAAAAGCTTAAATATTAAATATTTATTTATTTTTCTTTCCTATTGCAGCCTTTGAGTAAATGAGCTTTGTGTCAAAATAAAATATAACCAATGTGCACAAATATGTTCTAATAAGTGGTCAGTGATGTCTGGACTATACATTTTTATTAGATGAAGCCACAGTCCCTGGAAATAGGGGACAGTATTACTTTCATTTATAGATACAATATAGAACATCCCAGCTATGCTGCAAGGACTGTCAGTGGAAATATAAAGATGTTTCATGTGCGGTGTATCTTGGAACAGCTATTAAGATAATTTAATATGTTCCCATATTTCTACACATTAAGAGGAGTACAAACATTTTGGAAACTGCAGAACCATTTAAAAAACTTACAGCATATATACAATATTTTAAGTTATAATGATCCCGGTATGCTTTGAGACATCCAGAGTCATCCAATACCATTGAGCTGTATGTAAGGCAGAAAATGAATAACTTAGAACACAAAAGGACAAAAATATCAAAGGTCAGCAGATATTGAGAAAAGGGATAAATCGCCATGGAAACCTAAAAGATGCTCTCGTAGTAATAACTGTTCCTGTTTTGCTCTAATTAACATTGACCAATAAATGAAAGTAGAGGTTACCCTGGTCTGAATTTGAAGGTCTGCCTGAAGTATACCACTATCTTAATAATGTGGGCTCCTCACACTAAGAAATATCAGACTTGCCTTTCTTCACGTCCAATACGACAGTCAAGGCTTGGTTCTATAAAGCGTATATCAAAGTAAAGAGTGAAACAGCGGAAGAAAGGAAACTGAGGATGACAAGAGGAAATTCTTTTAAAATGATGTTCTACTATTTGAAAAGATTAGAAACAAGGCAGGAGAAATGTAACCCCCACAGGTATTGAGCTAGATATCTCATCACTCTCAGCCAGTGCTTAACTAAGAATCAAGATATTTGCAGTCAGATAACACTTGGTGGGATGCAGTTGGCAATTCCTCCTCTAAAATAACGGTGACCCATAGGGTAAATGAATTAGAATGATTCCAATCAGTATTTGTAATGTATCAACACGTGTTCTATCATTGTACATATTGATGCTGTCTCAGCAAAGATACTTTACCGCTATACACAAATCATTGTCTGGAAAACTATTCATAAACAGGGCTATTATTCAGGGATATCATTTTCAGTTTGTGGGGTAATAGCTTTATGATCTGGCTGCCATTCTGGGGTCAATTCTTCCCCCCAGTTTATGTCAAAATTGTAAGAACTTCAAACTGTTTGTTTGTTTGCCTTATTTTGATCAACAGCAAAACAGGTATGAGAAAGGCTGTGCTTGATGGATGCATATCTCTTTTCAACCTTTGTAACTATTTAACAAGATATTCGATTAAAGCATCAAAAATAAATAGTCATGCTGCATTTTAAATATGGTCATAACATGACATGGTTTTGAATTCATAAATTGAGCAGGGCCCTCAACCCCTCTGTTCCTGTGCATCCATTTGTCTGGTTACAATTACGGGTCTGTTAGTCCATCCATTGTACAGCGCTACGGAATTTGCTGGCGCTATATAAATAATAAAATAATAATAAAGAAATAGTTTAACCAGGGCCGGCGCCACCTATATGCGAAGTTGGCGCGGGCCTAGGGCGCACATTTGGAAGGTGCGCTTCTACAAGCGGCAGCATCCATGCCATGTGGCACTGATGAGAGAAGCGTCGCTGAGGTTTAGAAAAGAACAATTGAGGAAACGTCAGGAGTGCACACAGTCCAATTTGGATTGAGCCGCCCGGCGTTGTATCGCCCCGTCTGCCCGCCCAAGCTGTATTAGAGCGTTGCCGCGGGTTACCGCAGCAAAGCTCTGATGCATTTCCTGGTGCTCCCTGGCTGCATTTCCCACCAGACCACCAGGGAGCCAGATTCCCCCTCCCTGGCTAAGGTAAGTTTAAGGGGGGGAAGAAAAGTTAAATTTGTTGTTTAATTTTTGGGGAAAAAAAACAAATACATATATATATATATTTTTTTTTTATTTTTTATTTATTTATTTTTTAAGCCTAACCCCCCAGTACAGGTCCTAACCACCACACTACTGCCCCAACCTACCACTTAAGCCCCTGCCCCCACACTACAGCCCCTATCTCTGACTGCTGCCTTTAAACCCTTACTACAGCGCCTTAGTCCTTGAATCTTCCTTCCCATTTTGTACTAAATGTAAATTTCACTACTTCCCACATACATTTTCCACACATCGCCGCACATGTTACAGCGGCCCAAACGTATCACTCACAGCTACCCACACGCACACATTACACAGTCTTATACATCACGCACAGAGAGCCACAACATACACTTCACACATAGCTACAACACTGTAACCCTTTCCACTCGGATAAAATGTCAGTGTTGTCCACCAAATTTATTTATAGAAATCACTTTGTGGGTGCGTTTTTATCAAGTCGCCTTTATCCGATAACATTATGTCCCTTTGGGTGAGCCGTACGATCGTCAAACTTGTATGCTACTCATATGTCCCACCAGGTGGAATGAGAAAATGAAAAACGTCCCACCCTGTCGGACAGTCGAGGGGAAAGGGTTAATCCATTCTACACACACCCACTCAACGTTTTAATAAATGTTCAGTTACCTAACAATAAAAAATAACAGAGAAAGAATTTCCTGGTGCACACCCTAATAAAATGGGCTGCGCATGGAGTCTGGGCAGAAGAGTTGCCCAGGCAGACCCAGCAAAGAGCCTTAATACTGGCCAGTCACCCAGACTGCTGTAGAAGCAGTTTCTCAGGGATGTCCAAAGCATGTGGGTAGGACATTGTGATCAGGGGCGGACTGACCGGTCGGGCACTTCGGACACGGTCCGAGGGCCCGGCCGGGAGGGGGGCCCGCCGCCAGGGCCGCCTTCAGGGGGCCCGGCGGCAGGGCTGGATTGGGGGGGGACTGCAGGTGCCACCGGGTGGCCAGTCCGGTGGCACACTGTGAGGGGATACGCTTTTAAAAAAATAAATCATATACAAAATATATTAATATATCAAAATATTTCTAAAAATATTAAATCATTTGAAAAGCCTTTTTTGATAACCTAGTTTATTTTTCAATTATAAAAAAAAATAAAAAGTTTGATATAGATGATAATCTCTCAATGAGCATTCGGTATCAAGAACACGTGCCAATGTTAAAAAAACCACAATTGAAAATATTTTAATTTAGTAGATATACCCACAAGGTAACATGCAGTAACAGGACCGGTTGTCAGATTGAAAGCCAAGGGGTGTAATGATTTTAATTTAATAAAAGTGTACATTTCTATTGAAAACTGCACTTTTTGTAGAATAAAAAAAAAAAAAAAAAAAGAGGGGCACTCTTCACACAAAGCACTTCGGCAAGCTAAAACTAGCTTTAATAAAATAAAGTGCTAGTTGTTGGATCCTAATTATAAAGTTCATACAAGCGTTTACATGGGATTGCACGATTTCTCATTAAAGATTGAGATAACGAGGACTCGTAATGGTTTGGGCACTACAGTTATGTATAGCCCATTGTCCCTAGACCTGTAATCTCCAAAGGGTTAACACATTAAGCTTGATTTTAAACAAGATACGTGAAATATAGTCTCGGAGCGCTAGGTGTTTATACCAACTTAAAGCTGTCCTTCATTCGCCTTTCTCTTCTTTTGTCCCAGCAGGGATCAAGTGTGCCATGCAAGCTATGTGTCAGAATAATTAAATGGTAACTTTGTCACCTTGTTCTAAGTGATAAAATTACACAGCAGAAAATTGTCTTTGAGAATAATTGCCAAGAGCTTAATGTGTTTTCTCTTAATAACCTTTAAATTAGTCACATCGTCAATGCCTCATAAAACAGCCCAAGTAATTAAACATACACGCGTTTGTTAATAGAAAAATAGAATGTTTGGGGAGCATTCTGCTGTTCGATGGCATTAAAACACTAATATCTCAAAATAGATTATTACTGTGTGCATCCAGGAGTCAGACGTATGAACATGATTATAAGGCAATAAAACAGATTAAGAATCACTAGGCTGGGAGTTTTAGCTGGACAACCGCAGCACTGAGCAAATGTCCCCTCACATCATTGATTTCTCCACCTGAAGCAGCTGTCATTATCGGTTAGGTTTAAAAGGAACTTGGTTAATTTTGTTTGTCCTTGACTACAATCAGCACATTAATTGTTTAATTTGCAAAACTGGTCTACAGCAAATCAGAGAACGGCCACACTATCAGTTTCCTACATAGAGAACCCGCTTACAGCATACTTGGTGGAAACCAGGTTTGTAGACTTTCTATAGAGGTTTAATTCATTTTTAGAGAGGAACTGAATAAACAGTGCATCAGACTTAAGGGTAAAATATCCATCCAGTTCAAGTTTAAAAACAAACACACCCAGAACTGTTCAAAAGAAGCATTATATTAAAAAACACTATAGAGTTAGGAAACAGTAATAAAAACGTGTATTCCTAATGCTATAGTCTCATACCAAGTGTCCAGTCACCCCGTGTCTTAGGTAAAAAAGCAGTATAATTACGTGACTTCCCTTGCCGTGCTGCAAGATTGGCCTCTTTGGCTGAGATTAATGCAATGCTTCTATATAGGGA